GGGGGGGCGGGCTGAGCTTTCCTCCCGGCGCTGCGCTTTCGCCTCCCTCGGCCCCCCGGCCCGGTCCTGCGGGGCGGGCGGGACCTGGGGGGTCGGTAACCGGCCCGGCCCCTTTCTCGAGCAGCCATGGGCGTTCCTCTTCCGCGTCGGTAGCTCAGCGGTGTCTCACCGCCTCTGAAAGGAGCTCACGGGGCAAGGGGGGCCGGGCTCCTTCCCGAAACTTCTCCTCTTGCCGCCGGCCGGGGGGGCGAAGCGTTGGTGCTGCGGTTGTTACCTCAGCCGGCCCGTCGCGGTCAGGCCGTGAGGTTCGGTGCTCCTTTCCCTTTTCGTTTCCGCGCGCCCTTTCTCTGGAGCCGCTTCTTTCTTTCGTCACGCGGCAGTTTCCAGTCGGGAATTCCGTGCGGCGCGGGGACAGGCTGCGCGCCCTGCAGTTCCCAGCTCGGGAAGTTTGCTTGCTGCCGAAGTTACTGAGGCTGGATTTCATGGGAGGGAGGCTGTGTGAGCTTTCTTGAACATTCCTGCCCTTCAGAGCAAGGAAAGCATGAAAGGTAGCTTCTGTTTCGTTGTTTTTTTTCGTGAATTAAAATGACAGGATGCGTTGGCTCGACAATATTGAGCACAAAAATACCTGCCGAAGCACTGAGTCTTGCACCTGCGTAGGTGAGAGCTGCTTGTTGGAAGGAGCGGGCAGGGAGATGCCCCCAGCAGGGATGGAGCCTGGAGAGACGCTGGGGCAGGAGGGAGCGTCCCACGGGGGTTGGCAGATGGAGCTGTGGTGGGCTGCTGGCAGCTCCAGCTTGTCGTGCTTGCTTGTTTCTTCTGGGGGTGGAAGTTCAGTTCTGTGAACTTTTTTTTGTCGCAGACGCAAAAAAAACCCACAAACCTACCCGAACTGCGAATGTTTGTAGAGGCGTCTGTCAGAAGTTGTCGGGAGAAGTTGTTTGTGCTGGTTGGGCGGGCTTGCTGAGCTCAAGTGCTTGCAGAGCAGGCTGATCGCTATCTTCTGATAGCTTTTTGGTCATAATAAACATCAAATAGGCTGTATAGGCTGATCTCTTTAACTAGATGTAGCAACACAAACATTTCTTCTAAGTGTAATTGCTGTTGTACTTGAGAAGGAACAGCGACTTTCACAGCTGACCGGTTTTGAATACAATTCGTGCACATTTGAGGCCAGCCTAATGCAGCAAAATAATTAATTTGAAGAGCTGCTTCACTGTGTCTGTCCGTCTTTAACAGCTCCAATGAGAAGTCCCAGAGAATCAGCAGAAGCAGATGGTTGGAGGTGCCTCTTGCTGATTTGGGCAGTAGTCTGTTGGATAGTGAAAGATTAGAAGATAAGCACATTAACACAAAACACGGAAAAAATGCTCAATGCTGAAGTATGTTAAAACTTAATTTGGGAAGAATTAAAAAAATATGTATTTTAAGCAATCTTAAAATCGACACTGTAAGTTCAATTTTTTTCCAAGTGCAGGTTCAAAGTTCCAAGTACAGCGAGATCAGATATATTTATAAGGTCATAATGTACCAGCACAGGCTTGGCTGATTATATATAATGAATGTTCTAGCAGAATACTTGTGGGGAGAGGAAACAAAAAAAATACTGTACTGCATCTTGTGTGATATGTCAAAGGTATGCTTTGTATAATGTTTTGACCTAATGAATAACAGCATGAGTTAAATTCAAGGCTGCCTAAACTTTAAAACCTGTTATGGACACACTGACTAAATCTTTTTTGTAGTTACAGGGGTTTTCTGAAGGCTTATATACATTTTTACAGAATGTGTCTAACAAGGATTTAACTTTAAAGATGAAAGAATACCAATATCAACCTCCTGACAACATGATTTAGTACTGCATAACTGAATGTTGGGAGGTTTTGTTGATGCTGCAGTGAGTAATGTTTTCCTCTGACCTCTCCATCTTGTTATACTGGATGTCAAGACAACTTACATATTTTTTCTTTAGTCTTGCTGTGCTATTGTACTTTTTCAGGAGTTTGCTGGCTGGCACTGCTTAGTTTGATGCTCTCAGAAAGCCAAGCACAATATCATGACTTAGTCCCAAACCTGCCAGCAGCGGAACATTATCTGTGTAACCTGTACACAGTGGTCTTCAGGAATAACTCTAAACACAGTTGCAACTTCAAAGTTCTGTTCTTCTGGAGGCTTGTCTAGTTTTAGAGTCTTCTGGGGTTTTTTTAAGGGCGTTTTTGGGAGTCTCTGTCTTTTTGTGACTTCCTCTAACTTTTTTCAGAGAGCTCACAAGTGACTGTGAGGAGATCAGTATGCCATTCTTCATTTCTTTTGACCAGGCAGACTAGTCCTTGCAAATCCAATACTTTCTTTGCAGCTAAACAGTAAACCAGAAATGATAATTTACAGGTGCTGAGGTGCTGTACCAATATGTTGAGGTATGATAGGAAGAGGAACCTGACAGATCTTGCACGTTTTGATAGATGCATACTGTTAAGGTGAAGGTCAGAATGCCTGCCTGCAGTGCAGTTTTTCTGCAGCTGCCTCACAGTGTTCTGAAAAATCAGGGGAGTTTAAATTGTGCTGCTCAGAAAAGGAATGTGATACTTTTTCCTCACTTAGCGTGTGTATGGACATGTATTTTCAATTCATATAATGATTGTGGAATTTATTTTATACATTTATGAAAAAGTAAGCTTCCTTTTGAAGGTCTGAAACCAATGCATGGTTCATATGTCATTAAATCAGAAACTGCAGGAAAACAAAGAACCACCTGGAGACTTGGTGGGGGGGAGGTTGAGATTTCTGGTGAAATGTACTGTCAACACAGGAAAAACTATAGAGTGTTGCAGCTACAAAAGGAGGCAAAGTGTACTGGGCGTTTTGTCTCATTGGGATTTTTTGTTGTTTGGGGGTTTTTTGTGTGTTTTGGGTTTGTGTTTGTTTGGGTTTTTTTGTAAACCATTTGTTTTTATAATTAGGCAAAACACCAGAATGAAAGACATGGACAATTTCAAGACTGCAAAGAAAGAATGGTAGGTGCCAATTCCCCCCTGTCCCCTTCTTCCTCTTCCTTTTCTACTGTTGTCTGTGTGTCCCATCATGACTTCTCAAACTTCATTAAATTTTAAAGTTTGAGAGGTTTTTTTCCTGTATCCTTCTGCTCCTCATATACTGAAGTTATCAAACCCCCCTAGAGGTTCTTTAAAACTAAAGAAAAAGATTTTTCACATACCTACAAGTTTCCTAGATGCAAGAAATCCTGTAACTATTTTTCTTTAAAATAGCAAGACATCTTTACCAATTGCAAACTCACTGTGCACTTGTGTATTTGATGTGGAGGTTTTTGGTTTTCCAGTCAGGTTTCCATAGGAAAGTATAGTGAATACCTGGATTAATGCTTCAAGTTTCTTTTCTTCTATTAGAAAGGGGATAGCACACTTCTGAAATTTCTTCTTTCATGTTTTTGAGTTGTTCTTTTGTTTAAGTATGTTCATCTGTAGGGATTCTTAGTGTTGCATAGATGTACTGCAAACAATACCTTTTATGCAAATGTATCTAATCAACATTCGAGTAAGCATTGCTGCTCTTGAATTCAATGCAGAGTTTTATGTAAAACTGGCTATATTTCAAGAGCTTTTTTTCTGAATTGCTTAAAATAGACTTCTGAATCTCCAGTATGAGTAACTCCTACAATGTTTACCAAAAGCTGCATAATCCTCTTACTATGGAAAGAACCTAAACTGAAAGATAATCTTTCATTCAGTTTGCATATTTCTACATTCTGGTTGGTGAAAATCTAGCAGAAACAGCTGTCACATATACCATCTTCTATAAAAAGATGAGCTTGATGCATCTGTTTTAATGCTCTGTCAGTCTCCACGGTATCGAAGTCTTTGATTGCATTTCTTCAGCATTCTCACATGGTGTTGAGTCACTTGTTCTTAAGTTGCTCTGATGTGCTTTCAAAGACAGTAATGGTGGTTATGTGACGGTGCTGGGTTCAAGTAGGGGCTGGGGGGTAAATCCTAGGGTGAATTTCTTTGATGTTATTTTTAAACTTAGAGTAAAGGAAGTCACCCAAGTCTATATCATGGTAACACTTTTAGGAAAGCCTTTCATTGCTGAGCAGTTAAATGATGGGATGAATTAGAAGTATAAATAATCTAACTTGCATTCCTTGGTCTGATACCAAGTTTAGAAGCTTCTGCATTGATGAATTCACCTTTCTATTGTCATTCTTTAACTTGGGCTTCTGAAGTGTATATAGTAGCAGTTAGAGATTCATAAGAAGTTTCTAGAAATGACACGACGCACTGCTGAACTGGTGTTTTGCTACAACCAAGTAAGCTGGCTGCAGGGGAGCAGGCCTTTCATACTTCTTGGTACTGAACTTCTAAGATGACTGCTTGTCTTGTAATGTGTTCTCTGAGCCATCATTTTTACTTATGTCTTTGTTCTGCAGGATGTGTAAATCAGAAACTGATGATCAGATTTTGAATGGTAGAGACCAAAACTGTGACTACTTTGTAGATAACCTTTTTGAAGAAGCTGAGAATGTTGGTGCTATATGTATGCCCCCAACTACAGTCAAGAACCAGGTAGGTGGTGAAGAGAAAACACTCATATTTAACCTAATAGCACTCCAGGAGTACTCTGGAAAACAATCACAAGAAGTCTAGCAGTTTTATTCAGCATATCTGTAAATACTTGCACTCAAAATTCAGACAGCAGTAGAAATGGTCTCCCATCTCTTAGTCAACCAGACCTAAGCTTCCCTACAAAGAGTTGCAGCCTTTTATGCATGGGCATAGTCCGTTGGTTTTTTCCTTTGCTCTCAGTTATATAGTTGTGGTAGTAGGAGGATGTTTAGTATGGGTTTGTGTATCAGTGATTTTGTCCTTTTCATATGTTTATGCTATTTCTCAAAGACTGGTAAGGGCTGGAGAAAAGGCCACGTAGAACAAAGATGTCAAGGAGAAATTTGCAGTGAGCATTGCTGCAAATTACATTCATGGATCCCCAACTTTTTAAGCAGAAAAGGAGTGTCAGGAGCAATACTTAAATTGCAGTTCTGAAATAGTGTTCCATGGCAGTACTTGTATCAAGGTCTAAATGGGAAGTTGGTATGGAATAATTAGTCCATGTTAAATGTTCATACTGGCTGACTGTAGAGGAACCTTCCCGTTATAAGAACTCGTTCATTTCCTGAGCATAACATGAGATGCAAGACTTTTTAAAGGACTCTCATCTTGCTGACTGCTATATACCTTTCTCACAGCCAAATGAGAAGGCAAAAAAGAAAGAAGGAAAGAAAGAAGTGTGAAGTACTAGCAAGCCTAGTTCAAACTCATTTCCAGCTGAGGTGAATTTTGCATTTCCATATGTTTCGTTTACCTTATCTGTGGCCAAGTACCTGTCAAGACAGTGTTATTTCAGGGATCCTACCTTGATGATTAAGTGTGTCATTAAACATCACAGTGCGTAAATTTGTCAATGCAATGCCAGATTTATCCATGTTAAAGCTGGAGACATTTCAGTAAACAGTGAAGCCTACAAGTTGAAGTAGTGGATGTTCTCTGGAAAAGTTAATGACTTACTGAGAATTTATTTTTTTATTCCCCTAACACCAAAATTTTGAATATACCCAGGAATTCCAGGGTAACATGAATGTATGATGGTCTGAAAGTTATTTTTTCTGATACTTGCTGCATTTCCTGAGTGAAAGGATTTTGCATATATATTATCTCAATGCTTTACTTTCAGAAAATCCTCCTGAATGATCAGAGAAAGGCTTTACCCTAATAAATCCCCAGCTGAACTCCTCTGGTGGTTAGTGTTCCAACACCAGGCATGTGCGCTCTCAAAAAGGCTCTTGAGTTGCAGCTGTCTGGGATTTTCCAGCTTTTTGCCTTTTTTTTTTTTTTTTCTTTCTTTTTCCTGCTGGATTGAAGGAACGTTCTTGATCTAGGAAAGTAAAACTATTGTGGGAAGGTTTATTTCTAACCCTGATTTACACAAGATATTTAGAAATGTCACCCACCTCTTGCAGTTGCTCTGCCTCTTGGCACAGGGATGAAACAGATTATAGTGAGCCTCCTCTCAGTATTTTTAGTCCATGCAGTGGATGATTTACAGCCATAAGGTACTGTGTGTTTACCAAGCTGGTTTTACATCACACTTCTAATGGAAATTGTTCTAACTTTACAGGTAGATGTAATAATTAAACTTTGGAAAAATGGATTTACAGTAAGCGATGGTGAACTTAGGAGCTACACTGATGTTGCAAACCAGCAGTTCTTGGACTCCATTAAAAAAGGGTAAGTGAATTTTGTGTTCTTAATCAGCCTGAGTCAAAGTGTTTTGGATAGCACTTAGGTTATGCTCTACATTTTTCACATGGCTGCCTGGCTTTGCTGCACTGCAGTATCCCTGTAGGAGCGTGGGCCACCACTGCCTGTGTCATTTCCTGCAGCACTAGTGGCTGTTTTCACGTCAGCAGGTTTAATATAGCTTTCAATTGCAGTAGTTGTACAGTTGCTAATGAAATAGATAAAAGTCAGTGTTGGTAGGGGGCACAGCAGGTGCAGAACGAAACAAAGAATAAACCAGAACGCCCAGTAAGAGCTACTGATGAAATGGTAGTTTGACTAATGAACTCTGTGCACAAGTTGTTGAGCATTTCTGCTTTTATGGTCTTTGTTTTCTTTTTATTAATGGAAAACCTTAAATGGGCACAGTTGCTCCATGTAACAGGAAGAAACTCTAATCAGTCTTTAAATTTCAGACATTTTTGCTAGTACAAACTTGCTGTTTTCTGTCACTTCTATGTATATAGTAATCTTACTTTTATTCTCCTCTTAAAAATTAGCATGCTATCCTGATTTCTGCTAGTTTTTGAACTGTTTCTTTAAAAAAGCAGGCTGACCATACAAACCAATGTAATTTTGGGTCTTTAATTTGTAGTCTGTTTCCTCACTCTGTACAAATGGAGAGGAGAATTTTATGGAGAATATAACTTAACTCCTTTTCAAGTATGTAAAATTACTAAGCCACTGTATTTTTCTTATTTTCCATACTTTGCTGGCCCATCAAAATTAGTAATTTTACACTGTATTTCTTCTCTGTGGCTGTCACCTGTGTTAGTCATTATAGCAATTAAGCACATTGTTTAAAGCCTTTTTGTTTCTTTGTTGTCCATGTGTCAAGTTTGCCACTGTTTTTCCACTGTTTGCATGTGAAGATAATAATTACAAGATGGTTCCTGCGTAATTGTCAGTGGTAGCGAAGCACTTAATACAGCCCCTTTGCCAGCTGAGCCCCACCACCCGAAAATGCAGTATCTGCATCAGAGGTCAGACAAAGGCATTGTTGTGTTCTGCTTCATGCAAATAAAGCATTACCAAAAGCACTAAAAGGTGTAGCTATTAGTGATGATCTAATTTTTAAAAGCTGAGATTCCTATTTATTTTTAATTAAACATGTTATCTCTAAACTCAGTTCTTTCTCTTTAAAAGCCAGCTGGCTGTCTTGTTTTACATAGGGATAAAATAATTTAACCTTTTGCAGCAGTGTGCAGCAATGCTGATCTTCCTACACATCATGTGCTTTGGAGTCATAGCTGATGAGTAAATTTGACGATCATTCAGCGACTAGCATGATGATGTATTTTTTTTAACTGTTCTCTTTCTAGTTGATTTGTGGTTTGGGGAATTTAAATTGTTTGTATCTCATGCATTTAACTCTTAGTAAATATTTGTGAAGTTTTTTGTTGGTTTCTTTATAAGAACATCATCCTTGAAAGGATAAACAGAAAAGGTATTTGTCATTACTCTATTTCATATACTGAAAACAGTATAGTAGTTCTTCTGATATGTTTGGGTTTTGTGTTTGTTTTTTTTTCCCTTAAGGGAACTGCCTTTTGAGCTACTAAAAGTTTTTGATAAGGAGGAGGTAGTTGTGAAAGTGGAAGATAAAAAGGATAAGGTGTGTTTGTCATCGAAAAAGCCAGTATTTCACCCCTTCTCTGGACATGGCTACAGATTAGGAAGGTGAGTAGTCTGACATGATCTGTAATTGAGTAGCTGGAGGGAACTATACCTATGGTTAAAGATCTCATAATTCAGGTTGAAAGTGAGCTTTGGAGTTCTCTACTCCAAGCTCCTGCACAATGCAGGGTCAGCTGTGGGGACAGATGCGATTGCTCAGGCTTTTATCCAGTTGGGCCCTGAAATCCCACAGGAGTGGAGGCTGCACAACAGGAAAGCATTTTCCCCTTATATCCAGTCTGAACATGTCTTTTTTTCAATTTATGCCCACCATGAAAAGCCTGGCTCCATCCTCCTGATGACTTTTTGTAGACCCTGGCAGACTTCTGTTAGGTGTCTCCTCCTTGCACCAACTCTTTCACAAACTGAACAAACCTCTGTCCTTCAGCTCTCCTCACAGGGTAAATGCTCCAGCCTGCTGCTGTCTTGATGGTCCTCTGTGAAATTTACTCCATTTTATCAACATATTTATTTTGGGTACCAAAGCTGAATGCAGTATTTAGGTGTGTCTAATGAGTGCTGCTAGGGTGATAATAGGCTCCAACAATCTACTGGCTGTGTGCCCGTTAATACAGCCAGGATGCTGCTTTCAGCTGAAAGGCTGTCACTCTTCTATTTGGTAGTTTAAGACAAAATAATCTCTTTTAAAGCTGTATTTGCAATACTTTGTGTGAGAAGAGGGCAGTATGACAATCCCATAAAGGGAGCTGAAGAAGTACATGGTTATTTTGCATTCTCTTAAAATTCTTTAGTATTTAACCATGCATTTATTGCATTAATACATTTTAGCATGTTAAACTGATCCTCTTTCCTTTACTTCATGACTCTTTTGGTTGGAGAGTGTCAACCACTAATGCCAGTGCTAAAACTGGCCTTGATTCATAACCAAACAGTATTGTATTTTGGAGGCTATTTGTAAAGGGACAGGCCAGGAGTTCATGGATATGATCCTTGTGCCTTTTGCTTACTCCAGCCAAAGTACATGCTTCACATGTCTCTGTTGTGTAAGACTTAAATGCCTATAAAAGCAGACTTCAGCCCAGGGAAGAGAATTCATTCAGAGACCAGGAGCCTACGGGAAGCCTTCCCAGGTGGGACTGCTTGGGAACTTGCTCACTGGGGTTGGTAGATTGTGGTGAAACCTTAGGTGAACAGCTTGTTTTGATTGAGTGGAAAGGGCTTGCTGCTATGGCCCAGTGCTTCTGCTGAGGGAAAGCATGACCTGGGTAGGAACTGATGAGGCAGAGGAAGCTGATGGTAATGTGCAGAGTAACAGACTCATAACTGTAAAGGATGAGTGGTTGCAGGCTGCCTCTAAGAAGCAAGTATCTGTTTTATCACTCTCATCTGTTTCTGTAGCACAGTCCATTCAGTTGCTACATGCTTGAGTAGATACAGTCAATAGGGAAAATCTTGCTTTGAGAGATGGATGAGATGCTGCAAGACTCTTCTGGTAGCACTGAAATCCTAAGCAAATAATAGTCAAGAACTTAACCTTATTTTATCTACAAGCAGATCTGTATACAGCAAAAGCCAAGATTTTTAGTGTGTTGAGTTTCTACTGCTAACCTGTTACTAAGTGGTAGGTTGCTCATTTCCTAGTTGTGCTCTGTCATGCCTAGAGCAAGTAATGATCTTGCTTCCTAACAGGCAGGTTAGGTTCTGGAAACATTCTCGTGAGTTTTGGTGGACTTGTCTACATCCTACAGCTTGCTCAGCATTTTTTTCTTTATGGACTGGATAAAATGCCTTTTTTTTTTCCCCAGGCTTGCTAGGCTATTCAGTGCTATGCTTTCAGAGCCTTTTCTTTAATGATGAATACATATTTTTGCTGATGTTGGAAACATGAGCCATAACTGCTCTTAGTCCATAATCTAGTGCTCATTTCCTGTCGTTAATAAATGTCCATTGTCCTGTGCTACTCTTTCAGCAGAAAGGCTTTGTGAGGAAATAGTAGTGTTGTCTGCGACCTGTAACAAGTTTTAAACTATAGAACTCCCTTTCCACAGTTGCATTTATGTGCTTAGAAATAAAAGGCAAATGACTGAACAGTTCACTTCACCTTATGACCTTATCAAATAAACATTTATTTTTTTTAAATACTCAATAGATTTTTCTGTCAGTGCTCCCAGATGGAAGGATTATGGGGTGGATGAAGCCCTGTGAGTCTGTCTGATGACCAGATCGTTAAAACTTCTGTTGGAGGAAACATGGAGGAACTAGAAATTATATGTTTGCTGATATAACCAGATTAGTTTGCTTCTCTCCCTTTTTGTTGTACTGGAGACAGAAATGAGATTGGCCAGACTTTTCCAATATACTTTATGAACCTACATAACTAATGGGTGTGTTCTATCTACCACTGTTCAGCTGCATTTAGTAGTTGGGGACTATAACAAGATTTGCAACTGCACTTTTCTATTAAGGTTAGCAATGCTTTTTAAAGACTACCTCAGAAGCATGTTAATTATCTATTGACTGAAATCCCTTGTAGCATAGTGGGCTTGCTCTGTAACCTCAATTAGGGTAAAACATCTTGTGTCAAGCTTCTTAACCATTAGTCAGGGTAAGGCATGATGCTTAACTCTTGGGCTTTTTCATTCTAGAAGATTGACAGGAGGCTCCTATGTCTCTTCGATCTTTAGATTACAACTTATTTTGATAATCTTGTAAAAAGAAGAAGCTTTTAAAAGGGGTGGTAATGCTTTGATCTTAGGCTAATAGAAGGTTTAAGATTCTTGGTTTGTGGCTCTAGTCGAAGCTCTCACCACTAGATGGCTTTATCTGTCTCTTCTACAAAAAAAAAGTTGCCAAATGTAGAAGTGCTTTAAACATCGGTGAATATAAATTTTCCAACTTCTCTTTCTTATTCACATTATTTTTTTAGTTCAACTTGTGCAACAATTGTCTTTATAAACATGTTCCTCAAACATCAGTTTTGAAATGACTACATACATTAACTACCTCTGCCAAAAAAGCAGGTATTAAATTGACAGCATTGTAGAGATGCTGTAAATAAAGAGAACAGTCAAAAAAATCAAGCAAGAAGAGCCAAATTACCTTAAGTGACAGGGATAATAGGAACAAACAGAAGAAATACTAAGATTTTTTTGCTATAAGCCTAGCACTTACTGCTTGGAAATAAGAGAAGACAAGGCAAATGTGGATGCATTAGAGAAACAGAGAAGCTATGCCAGCAAGTGACCAACTGAACAGAAAAAGAAACCAAGATCCTAGCATAGATCTGACAGTGTATTTCCAAATTCTATGGATCCATTAGTGCCTAGAAAAGAAGGTGCAAAGCTCCTTGTGTGGACATCTTTAGTTTGCTGTGTTTAAAAAAGGTACTTGAAATCAAACAGGAACTGGTGCAGAATAGGATCACTTAAGACCAGAAGAATCAAAAAGAAGATAGGCAGATTGTCTAAGAAACAACGTGGGAATTTTACTGCAAAGGGAGGCAACTTTCTGACATATATGAGAACATTGGCTATGAATATAAATTTCCAACTTTCTCTTGCAGCTTAGCTTAACATGTTGACTTCAGTTTCACACATACTTGCTATTGAAAGAATCATCTCCAGTGCCTGCCACTAATTCTGAGATGTGACCTTGAGGGAAGTTAGTTTGGGAAAGATGCAAAAATCTGTATCCATTTGAGACAGTGATCTGAACTACAACTGTGACTGATGAGCTAAAATGCAGTTCAGCCCAGGCTAAGCCAGATGCCTGGCAGCTGCACGGGTGACTGCCTCTCCAGCCTGAGCTGTACTGGAGTCAGCTGTCTCACACATGTGGGCTGATACTTCAATGTCAGAACCTGGAACTGAACGCCACTGATCAAGTAGACAGTGAAAGCTGATCATTGCTGGACTGAAGTATGACTTGAATTTTTTTTTTCTCTTCTCACAAGACTGTTTTAAATTATCTTGCTGGTACTCAAGCTCTTTTTTTCCAGATCTAGGGAGCATTAGGGTTTATTTTGTATTGAGGCCAAGCATGAACAGAAGCTGGGTGTGAGATAAGTAAATCAGCAGAGGCAGGTGGGTGATAGTAAGTTACCTATACGTGGAGTACAAAACTATTTTACAGATGTGGCTCTTGAAATCTGCTGGTGCCAAATTCTTGTGCCCCAGCTGATTTCTGTGTAATGGAAAATAGTCAATTCTGTGCCTTTCATCTGCCTTCAGTTGCAGTTAACCTCTCTTAGCAATAACTTAGGAATAAGATTCCTCGTTCTCGTTCCTTTTGCAGTTTCAGTGGAAATAATAAAAAGTTTATCTTCTGGCTGGTAGCTTAGAAGTTAGGGCACCTAGCTGAGCAGTGGATTGTAAGAGTTTTCTGAAATACCTCAGTCTGAGAGCTTGACACTCTATTAGCCTAAATATATTTAAGTTATTAGGCACCTTTGCTTTAGTAATAATTTAGCTGTGATGTTTCTGCTTTATGATCAAACTAAGACAAGTGCAGTAAAACAGGGATGCAAGGATGGGGTTTGTCCATGAAGCAGATGCAGTATTAGGACTGTTATTCTATGGCCATTATTTACGAACTTCTCTCTCAAGAAACAGTAACTCGTCAATTTTCAGTGCAAAGGGAAGGCTTTTCAGCAAGCCAGTGTGAAGTGCTCATGTAGTCATTGACCACAGCTGAGCTCATAGGAGAAATAGAATCATAGAATCCTAGGGGTTGGAAGGGACCTTGAAAGATCATCTAGTCCAACCCCCCCTGCCAGAGCAGGGTCACCTAGAGTACATCACATAGGAACGCATCCAGGTGGGTTTTGAATATCTCCAGTGAAGGAGACTGCACAACCTCCTAGTAACTCCTTACATCACTATATTGTCTTGCAAGCAAATATCTGGTTATAGTCACAGGAGCTGAGGATGTGCCCCTTGGATCAATTCTTGTGATGACTTAAACAGTACATGTTGAACAGGCTTAGTCCTGCAAGAAGCACTAAGTTCTCAACATTTCCTCAGAACAAAAATTGTTGCCAGCATTATTGTTTTGGGTTTTTTTATGACCATGCACTTGAACTGAGTGCCTTATATCCTGTCAAGTCATTTAATAGATCTTTGCCCATATGGTGGGTTCAGCTGTCCAAAGTACCTCAGAAAAAAAATAATAAAAAATCCAAGTGCTGTATGCATCACCCTGGCTTTTCACATTAAGTCAATTTCTCTGACGGATGAGTAATGCTTCTAAGCTGAAATATATGATGCTGGGTTCTAAATCAAGGCTAACAACATTCAGTTAAATTGAATTATTGTAATCACATTACGGTGAAAATTAACATGGAGTATGCAAATTCAGTACTCAACCCCCTTAAAGCTTCACCTGTGTGATTAGAGTATAAAAAAATGCACAAAAATATATATGATGCTGGGTTCTAAATCAAGGCTAACAACATTCAGTTAAATTGAATTATTGTAATCACATTACGGTGAAAATTAACATGGAGTATGCAAATTCAGTACTCAACCCCCTTAAAGCTTCACCTGTGTGATTAGAGTATAAAAAAATGCACAAAAATCATCCAACTGTTTCATTTCTTGTGTATTCTTATTTAATCCTTTGATATTTAAGTTGTCTTCCATCTTGTAAAAATGTTTAACATGAGCAAACAAATTCTTCAGCATGTTGAACTCTTCAAGAAAAAGTATTGGCATACAGTTAAAAAATATTTTGACATTTAGGTCAGTATTTCTGTATTTGTGAAGAAAAAAAAGTAATCAATGCACCCTGCTAGAGGGCAGGAAGCTCCAGAAGCAGAGATCTGGAGGGATGTTCAAGCTTATATGTGTACACAGAAGGTATAACCTCATATGGCCTTTCTTTCCAGTGCTACTCCAAGGATAATCTCAAAAGTAAGAGATGATCATCAAGGACCTGACAACAGACAACTCCTCCCATTAGTACCCTTAAATGATTTGGAGCCTATCACTAACATCAAGATCTGGTTAGCTAATGGGGAAAGGATAATTCAGAAATTCAATGTTTCTCACAGGTAAGATTTATTTTAGCACTGTCATATGTATTTGCATCTGAACTGTTTGTCCTGTGCCTGTATACATGGTAAGTCTCTAGTTTCTGTGAATAATCTGCCTCCTCAGTTCACTGTACATTGGGCTGCTGTTCAGCTGTATGTAGAAAACCTTTCAAATTTTGAGAAATCTTCTAGCTGACAAGAGAGGAGCAGAAGAGTAATGTGAACTGATGTAAAGAGCACATAACAGTATAACTGCAAATTTGAGGGAACTGTAGCAGTCCTTTGTAGGTTAGTGCAAGTTAAGATGTATGTATTGCTCATTACTAGAGGTAACAACTTTTAAGGTGACAGATCTCTTAGAAAATTGCTACATCTGGAGCAAATTGCTTAGTAAAAAGCCTGCTTATCACTGGGCATAGACAGCACCACAGCTGGGAGCTGGAGGGTGTGACTTAGGAGTTGAGCCAGTGAAACCTCATGGGAGGGCCAGGGTCTGTGCACAAGGCAGAAGAGGTTCATCACCTGCATGTCAGCATGGACAGAATAGAATGCATCCAACATATTTAATTCTTAATTAGTAACATTTCTGGTTCCCAAAGAGGCTTATAAATGAGGATAATGTCAGAAGGTGTCAGGGCAGCATATGTACACAAGAGATTTGTGAAACTAGGATTAACTGTTTAACATTACATTGTAGAACTACTGTCTGTAGAGAATTTTCTCAGATTTGTGATTTCAGTAATTACTCCAGTACTAAACACAGGATATGTTGCCTGTGTTTATCTGTGAAGCAATTTAAAGTGATCATAGATTTAATATGACCCAGGCTGCTGTCAGGATAACCTGTGTATGTCTTTGTGACTGGTGAGAAGAAAAGCTCAGCAGTTGAAGGTTAATGACTACCTTTTAAAGAAAAAAAATACTAAGTTATTACTGTTAGTGGCCTGTGGTGTGAACTGGAACGCTGTTGCTATATATTGCTGATGGGTGAATTGCTATTTTAATTATAAAAACTTAGTTGGGAGGCTTACTATCTTATTCCAGTTTTAGCACAGTTGGGTATGTTTAGAAGCTTTTTGTCTTCATGGTAAATAGCAGTCTGAAGAGCTGCTAAGTGTTTTTGAGGGGGGAAATAAAGTCAGATAAGCAGAACTTTTCAGCCTTACTGATAGGATACTCTTTTTTAAGTAGTTTGCAATAGATGTTCCATCATCATGTATCTTCTTGTCACAAGTCTAGCATGTTTGTGCTGCATACAGTATTTATGTATAACCTAGTAAGAAACAGGTGGAAATCCTTTTAGAGTACATATCCTTAAGCCATATGATTACATGTATAGCACTGCTTTCAGCAGAGGAGCAGAAAACAGTCAACTGTTTGTTATTAAACTCTTAAGTAAATAACCTGGAGCATACCTATTGCAGTGCCTGTGTAAATTGCAAAAGGGACAAAAGTAATCAGATAGAATGTGTATGTGCCATGGTAGCTGCTACTTTAGATACGACTTGATTACTGATGTAAGATTGCAGTTACAGCACTGGAGCAGAAGTGCAGGTAGCCTTGTAATACTGGAGTGCAGGGAATCGAGGAGACATGAGAGTGAAGCAGCTAGCACAGCAGTGCTGTAGGAATAACACACACAATTGTGTCTTGAATCAAGTTGTGTCCCATCTTGGGCAGTTCCTAAGCTAAGGTGACCCTGGAGCATTGAGTATGAAGCCTAGAAAGGAACTTGTTCATCCAAAAGCAGATTGCTGACAGCTAATTGTCTGAGTTGTTCTTGGGATCCAAGGAACTTAGCTATAATGCATATATCTATACCTGTAAATGTCCAAACAAAATTTTATTCCTGCTTGAGGTTCTTCATGCTCTAGGCTTATGAGACTTAAGCACTGTCTCTTAATTGAGGCTTGTGTGCAGAGGAATTAAGATGCTGGCTATATCTGTCTAAACAAGTACAGCTAAGGCGTGGAAATTTGGTCATCTCTGCTGCTAATCTGTCAGGATGGCTTTCCCCCAAGTCAGCTGGGATTTTTTCACACAGTATCTAGGCTTGGTTCAGAAGTTAGCTCAGGTTACAGACTGTCCCCAGGAGGCCAATGCCATGAGCCACCCTGTACTTGAGGGAGAGGAAGAATAAATTTAATAGTTTGCCCATAGCCACTCTACCAGATGGCCTTGGGATCAGAGAATGGGCATTGACACTATGTTTATCTTACTGGTATAGATGTATCCTGTTATCTTGATTTCCTAATTACTTTGCTCAAATTGGATTCTTCTAGAGAAAAACTAGTCTTGCACACTTGTTGCAAGGTTCTTCACACCTTAGGGTGCAGCTTGAATCTGTAATGAATTCACTGTTGCACCTGCTTTCATAGAAAGAGATTGTACTTAGACCTAGTTAATTTATAAGCTATCCAGAAAATTTTTGTAACTCTTTTTCTTTATTATTATTGTGGTTCTGCTATATGTACCAAAAACGGGAGACATCTTTATTCTAGCTCTTGGCTATGGAACCTCAGATAAGAGCTCCACCAGCTGGTTAAGAAATGGTAGTCTTGTGTAGCTACCATCTGAGGCATAGTGAAGCATTTGAGTGCTCAGAATAAGATACTCATCTTTTTTCCCTTTGGCCTGCTCTCTAAGCATGCAAACCTGGGTCCTTGCCTCCCAGGTGGATCTGGCACTTCAGGTTACCACCCCATATATATCCCTCCATTTCTATGCCATCAGCTGTTACCTGTTACAGCAAGTGGGTGTCTCATTCTCTTCTTGTGGTGGCTCTGTGTGTTGTGCATATGGTCTTTGTTGGCATTGGAGTGCTTTAATGCTGAATTTCCTTTTTCTTTTTTTTTTCCTTCTCAGAATAAGCCATGTAAGAGACTTCATAACCAAGTATCAAGGATCAGAGGGAAGTGTTCCATTCACACTGACTACTTCTCTGCCGTTTCAAGAGCTGCAAGATGAGACACTCACAGTAGAGGAAGCAAAGTTGCAAAATGCTGTTATTGTTCAGAGACTTCAGAAAACAACTGAACCTTTCAGACCCTTAGTGGAAAAAGCACCTGACAATGCCTATGAAACTGTTGCTACACCTAATGGACAGTTCAAGAATGAGAAAAAAAACACCATGAAAAGTACAAGATCGAATTAGCTTTCACTGGTCAAAAACTACATACAGATGGAACTAGACAAAACCAAAAATGTAACCAGCAATACCAGGATGCACTCTCATCCTCACGTACTGTGCTCTTAGAGAGCAAAATGTGTGCTGTGCTATAATCTGCTGTAATACAATTCTTCAACTAAATTTGGTGGTCAGACCCTGGCTGTAGAATGTATCAGAGGTAACTGCGCAACAGGTCATCCTTAGAATTCCCTTAGCTAGGAAGTTCAGTTCTTTGATGAGTGTATTTACATGGAACAGTTCTCTGAGACTTAATTACTACTGATAGTACCTTTTAAGGTAAACTAGTATTTATTTTTGCACTTTAGGTGAGAGTGAAGCTGGACTGATTGGGTTTACTTACATTTCAGTGTAAGATGCTGCAGGTTGCATTCTTATCACAGTAACTTTTAGGCAACAGATGATGCAGGGAAGCTCAGATTTGAACTCTAACTTGAAAGTCTGCAATATCAGTATGTTCAAAATTTAACTTTTTTCACAATCTGCAGTGCAGCATTCTATCTAGTCTTCACATGGTGGAGGTGTGTGTGTGTGAGAAGATGAAAATGAGGTAGTCTGGTGCATGCTGCATGTAAAGTGCCTCAGAAAGCTCTGAAAGAATGATACTACCAATGGTTGAAGTGGTTTCTGCCTCTTGAGTGCTGCTACAGTTATCTTACATAGTGATGTTAAACTACCTAGGTCGTTAGGATAGACATCCACTGTTAGCCTTGTCACACAAACTTCAGCTTTTCTGGAAGTTACAGTACAGGAATAGGGGCTTAGAGGGACACAGTTATTTGTGTACTATGTGTCTGACTCTGTCCTGACCTTGCTAGCTCATTGAGACACTAATTGCATGTGGCCAAGTTTCAAAGATGTTCAAAACCCTGATTTGAAAACTGAAGTTTCTTCCTCCATTTCCATCCAGATCTTTTACTTTGCTGTTCACTTACTTGAGGCATGCAATTTGTAGCCAACTATTCCACATTTTGTTAAAGGAGAAATCAACATAAAGACTAAATATTTTCTACTATTTTCTAAGCAGCATGTGAGTTTGTGCATAGAACTAGAGTCTCCAGGAGAAACTTATCCTGGGGCCTTCAGTGAGTGCTGACTAGTTTGTGCTACCTACACAAATGGAATCTTGTTGCAGCTGTACTTTGGCATGGTTAAAAGAAAAAATGGGTTTGGGATTTCCTAGTTTTGTCCTAAATAGAAAATGACTTAATTGGAGTGACTTGAATTCCATCTAAAAGTTGTGTTACTTCAAACTAGGGATTATCGTACTTCATTCCCAAGGATGAATAACTATTTTGCTTCAGCATGTCTCCTGGTATGTTTGAGGACAGTGAAATGAAGGTCAGCTGCACAAATAGTAATTCAGTATATTCAGAAAGCAAATCTCTGAAAACTATATAGTTAACTGTTCAGTGCTGTAAACGTGATGTGCTACTTTGTCATTCAGGTTTACATAGTGAATAACGAAACTAAATTTTCCTTGCTCACTTCTCTGCTATACGAAAAGCCCACCAGATCTTCAGTAGTAGGAAGAAATCTGCAGACAAATCCACTAGTAAAAATGAAGAGGCAAATCACCTGCAGATGCAGATCCAAACCTCAAGAGCTTCTTGAACAGTGAAGTTTATTAATCAGTGCTTTTGAATTTGTCTTAATGTAAAGCTAAGTCTAGGAAACCACACATGGTTGATTGTAAACTCAATTGTTCTTATCTAAAACCTGCATCAAATGTCAAAGTAGCCATATACTATTCCTGCATTTGCAACATGGAAATTCAAGGGAAAAATTAGTGTAAGACTGAGGGAAATTGAAGGGGAAAGTGAGATAAAATTTTAAGGTAGGTAAGTTTTGCTCATTATCAAAAGGACAAAAGGTTTTGGAAAGGAGCAGGAAGTATTTGTTATTTCTGTGTTGGTTCATGTTGGCTACCAGTATTTAAAGAGACTGGATAGCTTGTGGTTTACTGAAATCTGCTATTTCTGGCTACAGCTTTGGTGCTCTTGACACTTTCAAGCTGCAAATACACACTCATGACCTTATTTACAAAAGGAGAGCAAATCTTTAAAATGTCAAGAGTGATACTGACTCACTAAGCCTATAAAAAGGCAGCAAACTGTGATTGGATGATTTATTTCCTAATTTGGGGAAAACCTTTGGAATTAATACAGGGCTTTCCTAAATCTAATTGGGTTTGGTCCATTTTATAAAGACTGATGAAGCTACCTGCAGTGTCTGAACAGCCTAATTCCTTGCTCAGCACTGTAGAGATCTATTGTTCATTGGTCAAGCAACACTAAAACTAGCTTCGCCAATGCTTGAGTTTGTGAAACACACAAATGCTGTCAGTCATTAATTGTTTCTTCACAGGCCTGTGCGTTAGCACAACTTATAGCAAAATTGAAGTAGCATAGAAAGAACAAATAAATGTTTTCTGTATTTTTTACCTTTGTGAAGAAACATGCAAGTGCAGCTAACAAAGATTTAACATGTTATGAGAATTGGAGTGCAGAGAAGATGAAGAGCCAAACATTGAATTTGTATGTTATCTGCATACCCTGTACCTAGCTTGGTATTTTAGAACAAATTATGTACTGGGGCTAAGGGACTGGGCACTGCTTCTGTTTTGAAGCCCACCTGGCCTCAGCCTTTAGGGGACCCCATTGAGCCTAAAAGCTTCAGAGTGTTTTCAAAAAGGCCTGTTATGGCCACAATTTCAGTTTTGCATTCAAAGTGTTTTTAAGATTATTTTTTTAATGCCTTGTTCTTTCAGAATTTTGCACATTTGCTGTAATTACTCTTGTCAAATGAGGTTGCACAGGACTTGCTCATCAGTACTTTGTGACACAGTTTGCAGTGGGACCCTCTCAGTCACAGAGCTCCTTGAATCAGTCAAGCTGGGAAGCCAGGTGAACATAGATCAGTCATGATCGTCCCAAGAGGAGCAGATCTGAGTCCTGTGCTTCCCGACAAGTATTTAAACCCTCTTCTCTCAGGTTGTCTCACTGTTGAAAGAATTCTTACTTCAGAATGCAATACTTTCTTTGTGTTTCTTTCCTCTGATGCTGAGCGAGATCATTTCCCTCAGTTTGTACTGCCTCAGTAGCGGTGTCATCTCCAGGGCCTCGGAGGGCAGCAGCAGCTCTTGTGCAACATGCTTCCTGCGTCCCTACCCTTGCTGTGTCCTCTCATGGCAGCACCGCTGGCTGGCGTGGCTATCCAAGTAACATAAACCAGAAAACACATCTCTTCAAAGGACAGAGCTGGTATTTCTAGACTTCAGATTAAAACAGCAGCAGAAACCTTCACCGACGTTGAGCGGGGCGAGGCGAGAGCAGCGGCGCCTCCGAGGGGACCGAGTTTCCCTTCATTCAGCGGGTCCTAGCGGGGCACAGCCGGGTTTTACCCCGGGGCCGGCTCCCGCGGCAGCCCCGCGGGGAACAGGGGCTCCTTCCCGCGGTGGAAGCGGCAGTGGCGGGACGCAGGGTGCGGGGCTGCTCCCGCCGCCTGCGGGGGGGACCGACCCACTCGGCTGGGTCGCCCGAGGCGGGGAGAGGACTCCTCTGGCAGGGAATAAAT